GGCCGCATGAGCGCGCTGGAGAATCAGTTCACCACGATGAAGGACCTGTTTGAGAGGGAAAGACAAAACACGGCAGAGCTGTTGGCTCGCGAACAGGCAGAGAGGGCGCGTCAGGAGGACAAGGTGAAGGCGTTGGAAGCGCAGCAAGCCAAGTTGCCTCAAGGCGTGCGCTCGCTTGCAGGGGATGGTGTTGGTGCCGAAGAGGTGAGCGTTGGCAGTGTGCGCGTGCACGTGTGCGTTATTTGCCATGACTCGCACTCACCGCTCTGTTCATTGCTGGGACTGCCCTTGGCACTCTGAGCACAGCTTGAGAAGCTGAAAGCCAAGCATGCAAAGCAAGTTCGTCAGCTAGAAGAGGCGTTGGAGAGGGAGCAAGAATCGCTGAGCAGGCACAAGGTCAGTGAAGCGCGTTAGCATGGCATTTGTATGCGTGCGTTTCAAGCGCTGAAGCGGGGGGGGCCCTAAAACGTTCACCTTGCTCACGCGCGTAACAGAGATACTTGAGCGAGCGAGACGATGCGCGCGACACGCTGGAGAGCGAGTGCAAGGCGCTGGAGAGCAAGCTGAGCGCAAAGGATCGCCAGTTGCAATCTCAACAGCAAGACATTGCTCGTCTGGAAGAAGAAGCGCTCCAATTGCGCTCATCCACCGCTCGCATCGAAGAGGAGCTCAGAGCGGCAGAGACGCTTCGACGCAAGCTGCACAACGAGGTGCAAGAGCTGCGAGGCAATATCCGCGTATTTGCCCGCGTCAGACCTCAGCTGCCCAGAGAGAGAGAGAGCAGCAGCAGCAGCAGCAGCGGTTTGGCCAGCATCCACTTTCCCGATCCGCGCGAAGCTGCTTCCATCGAACTGTTGGCTGCCGGAGAGAGCGCTGTTGGGACTGCGACCATGAAGACGCACGCTTTCAGGTTCGACAGGGTTTTCCAACCGAGCGCGACGCAGTCGGACGTGTTTGAAGAGGTGGCGCATCTGACGCAGAGCGTGCTGGATGGTTACAATACCTGCATCTTTGCCTATGGTCAGACTGGATCTGGCAAGACCCATTCGCTCGAAGGAAGCGCCAATCTGCACTTGGGCGCCGCCGCTGTTCCAACGCAGGATCCCGAGGCTGGTCTGATTCCCAGAGCCGTGCAGATGCTGTGGTCCACTGCCGAGCATCTGCGCGCCAAGGGATGGCGGTACGAGTTCGAAGGCCAGATGCTCGAGATTGTGAGTGCGGGCGCGCGCGCGCGCGCGCCAGGGGCGTGGCTGGCAGGCAGGCAGACGCGGTCGGGTGTGTTGACGCAAAGTCATACAATGCGACCGCTTCGTCTGTGATTCACTTTTCTCCCGCAGTACAATGACGAGATCAACGATCTCTTGGGCAAGCACGAATTGTCGGGCAGCAGCAGCGGCGGCAGTCGGAACGAAATGAAGCACGAGATCAAGCATGAAAAGATGCGCACGTTCGTGTCCGACACTATCGTCGTTCCTTTAGAGTCGCCGAGTCAAGTCTTTAGTCTATTGGCCAAAGCCAAAAGTCGAAGGCAGACGGCAGCTACGCTGATGAATGAACGATCCTCTCGATCTCACTGCGTCTTCATCTTGCGCGTAAAGGGCGCGAATGCGCTCACGGGCGAGAGCTGCGATGCTACTCTATCCCTCGTCGACCTGGCGGGTTCGGAAAGGGTCAATGCGAGCGGGTCGGACAAGGATCCGGTACGCTTCACGGAGACGAAGAGCATCAACAAGTCGCTGTCCAGCTTGAACGATGGTGAGTAGCGCTGTGTGCCTCATAGCTCTCGCTGTATGCAAGCCGGGCCCTTTACTACCATATAGTCATGGCCCATGTGCTGACGATTTCTTTTTTTTTGGCTTTGGATGGGGGCTATTCGCAAAAAGTCATCACGGCGCTTGGGAATGCAAAGACGGGCGGACACGTACCCTATCGCAACTCTACGCTCACTTGGTTGCTCAAGAATTCCCTCGGAGGCAATTCCAAAACGCTCATGCTGCTCGCCATCAGCCCCATGGCAGAGCACCTCAACGAGACGATCAACTCGCTCAGGTTCGCTTCAAAGGTGAACTCTACCGTCATTGGAACGGCTAGGCGTGTGCGGGCTAGCGAGTAGAGAGAAAGGCATCGCGCAGTAGCTTCAGCTCGGCTCTCCTCTCCCCAAGAAAGCTAGTTGCGCTGGCGCTGGCGCTCGGGCTCGGGCACGGGCTCGGGCTCGATTGCGTCGCTGTTTTTCTAGCTTATGCACAAATTTCATCGTTCGGAGCCCCCGCGCTCGACCTTCTTTCCCTCCATCTCAGATCTGCTATCTTTCCCCCTCCCCTCCCCTCCCACCGCCGACTTCCTTTCGAACCATTCTCAGAACCGTTTCCTTCCTGCTGCGCAACGACACTCTCGCAGATGATGCCCCTTGCACCGTCTACACACGAAATCCACCTTCTTAGCGAAACGCGCAACGCGCAACGTCTGCAGTTGATTCATTGGTGTTGCATAGCGGAAAAGTCTCAATAGCCTCGCACGCGCTGGAAGATAAGCGCAAGGTGTGGGTGGGGGTGGCGGGAAAAATTGGGGGTGGCAGGCCAAGGTCTGATAGCTGGCACGCAGTGCCAGTCCATTCCCAGCGCACTCTGAGCGTTCAGAGAAAAAAGAGCTGTACAGTGAACACGAATGGAGAGCCTGCTTTGTTTTACCAATGACCAGCAAGTCTTCTTGCCGTGTCTGCCCATGCGCAAGAGAGAGAGAGAGAGAGAGATCTGCTCCCCCCGATACGACCAAGCGCCCTTAGGCCACCTTTACGACCATCTTGCCCTTGTTGACGCCGCTGAACAGATCGATGAGGGCCTGCGGAGCATTTTCGAGCCCTTCTCTAGTGTAAAAGTTTCTCTTCAGTTTGCCCTCTCCCAACCATTTGGCAAAGTCTGTCCTCGCTGCGTCGTACTTGTCGGCGTACTGGGGCGAGGG